ATAACAATGTCATTACTCTGTAGCAGGTAATGGCATCCCCTTCTGCCTGTGGCCATGTGCTCAGTTCATCCTTATATGTTGCCAACAAGAATTTCAGGCCTTAGGAGTTGTCTTTTCCATATATTCAGGGAACACCTCTGTGTCAAGGTAATTTGGGGCACTGGGGGAGCAATGCTTAGGATGTGAGAATACTGCACTGACTCTTGCTAGTCAAGTCCAAAAGGTCCTGCCAAGGTGGGTTATTTCTTCAAAGAAAATAGAAGAAAATTATTCTTGCCCACAAGGATGGGCTTTCATTTAATTTTTCACTTCAAGGAATGAATGAGAAAAAGATGAGGAATGAACTTAGCTTGGTAAGTGGAAAGACATGTATGACAGGCCTGACCTTGTGCGCTTAGTGGGTGCAGAAACTCCATAGACCTAAATGTGGGATTTATACTTTTGTAAGCATAAGTGGCGTACTGAAAAGAATTTTTCCATATACCACATAAACTGATATATTAGTTTTTAATCTTGTGCATTTTCACGGAGGAAATACTGAACAATGCTTACTGTTCCAGTTAGGCTATTTTTGGCAGTTGTCTGATAGTGTATTTACCACTGTAAAGCACTTCTAGAATCTCTGAAGAAGCAGGTGGAAGGCCAAAAAGAGAAGAAGCACATGGAGTAGTCAATTGAATGGAGGTCAGAAATTAGCCCCTTTTCAAGAAGCATCATCAAGAATTTGTCTGAAAGGAGAAATTTGCAAAGAAGGAAGCAGGTGCCAAATTCCTTTTGGCAGCTGGATACTTAAAAGCTTTTAAAACCAAAAGACAGCAGGCAGTACCTGATCTAAAGCTCAAGACATCAGGCAGATGACATGCCTGAGCAAATAAGAGGGAATTTATGAGGGTTACAATTGTCACAGTGCAGGGAAAGTGGAGCGTGAGGAGAGATGGTGCTGGCATTACTAAGTTCGGACTGGATTTAGGACACCGGCAGTGTTGGTAAGGAGGGACTTGAGAATGATTTTTGAGCTCTGTATTCAAACATCTGTCTGTTTTCCACAGCATACTGTAGAAAAATAGAGGTTTTGAACCATCACAAAAGCAAAGGAAGTGCAATAGCCCAGATTTTGATCATAATTACACCCAGGTGGTTCTGAAGAGACTACACCCGTGTCATTGAAGTTACACCAGTACAAAACTTGTGTGAAAATTGAATCAAGCCCTTTGTTTTCTTGTATTTGTGTACCAAATGAGCACTCTCTGAGCTCTTTGTAAATAATAAATTAATAATGATATGATGATCTCCCTTATGACTGGAAGAAGTACAAAAAAAATAGTGTCAGAGTAACAATTTGCCTGTGAGAATATTTGAACATGTCATTTCTAGATTTTTATTTTGATGCCTGATAATTTGTTTCAGTTTATCTGAAACATTAGGAACACTGAGTATAGTCGATTAGTGTTTGGTGAGCAATAGAAAAGCTACAACACATAGCTTGTGTATCAAATGAATAAGACTGTCAGTCTGTTGATCATAAAACACCTCTAAATACCCAGCATCAACAATAACAACAAAGTAGTAATAAAAACAACTAATGAAAAAAAAAGTAACGAAAACAAATGCTTTTTCTGTGTGCCTGCTGCAAAGAAAATTGTATGTTAGTGATTGGATTCGGGTTTATTTCTCCATTTGTGCCTCAGAATACACCAGATTGCAAAGTTACATCACATTTTTAATGACTGGAGTCATGTCCTGAGATCCCCCCTGACCACACCACAACTTCCTTCTCTCTTCTCTCTCCTCCCCTCCCAGTTTGAGGGCTGTGTGTCATTATGCTGAGGTTATAATTCAATTAATTATTGACAGGACACGTAATCACCACTCAGATCTCTTTCTGCTGGATAAATCTCTCTGCTGCTTTTTGACTTCTGTTTGTCATGTGCTTGGGAGGTGGGAAGGCAATAAAAATGTGTTTTAGAGATAGGACATTTCTCAATACACTATCAACTGGAAAGGCTTCTGACACGGAGTGTTTTAGATGCAGAGCATATTGCTCTAATCTGAGCTAAACGAGTATCCCCGAGAAAGCTCAGTGGGATGGAGGCTTGTGATTCATTTTAAGTGAAGGATATAATAAAGGCAAATAATTTTTAATTGTGCAAAAGTGTGATCTCTTTCAGCGATTCCGGGTATTCACAGCATTTTTTTCTTCTGCTGCTGATTAAAGGGAAAGTGAATAAATAAGAGCTCTGTGTTCTGCATGTGTCTTTAGAGAGGTGGCTTATTTAGAAATAAATAAAACCCCTTTGGCCTTCGATAACCTTTGACCAAAATCTGCTGGTTGCCAAAATAAATAAATAAATTAAAAAAAAATAAAAGGGACAAGACTCTTTCTTTAACTATTAGAAGTCTGGAAAGGTCATAGAAAAGGAGCTTCTTCCCATATACCGAAAAATGCTCTAGGGAACGGGCCAGGGGCGCTGCCCCTAACTTCGGGTTACAACTGACGCATGCCAAAAGCGGATAAGAAAAAGAGATAAGGAGGTGAGAAAGCAAAGAAGGGCCCTCTTGTGCAGCACGGAGAACTAAAGCGGCGAGAGACAATCTCTTAGATGACAGGGGCTGCCCTTGCAGCGCGATCTTGGGCGGCTCGACGGCAGTTTTGAGGACGGGAGTACAGAGCCGCATGATGTGCTTGGATCTGCTCTTCTCGCACCGTTCACACGTGTATGCGAGCCCGGGTCAGCGCTGCGGGGCGGCGCCGGCAGGGCCAAGGGAGTCCTTAAGGCAGGCTACTTAAAAAGAAGAAGAAGAAGGAAAAAAAAACAAGCAATCCCCCCACCCCCCAAAAGCTACTTTTCTCCTAGGAGCAGACCCTCTGCGCAGCTTTGCAAGAGCTTCCTTACGTGCCTGTCTCACGCCCGATCTTCTTTTGCCGAGTCCGCTCCTAGCTTCACACTCTGGCTCGGGGCGAAACCTTCGAGGAAGGTTTGCGTGTATCCTCGTTAGCATCTAGTCTTTAAAAAAAAACCGAAAAGAAAAGAAAGAAAAAAAAAGGAAAAGAAAAAGAAAAAAGAAAGAGGGAAGAAAAAGCCCTGTGAGGCTGGGAGTGGCGCACCGGCCCCCGGGAGGTGCGAGGGGCTGCACGGTGCCGAGAGTCCCTCCCGGCCCTCTCCGTCGCGCCCACAGGGTCGTTCCGCGGGCCCCGACGTGAGCGCCCAGCTCGACCCTTCGGATAAACCCGACTTCGGGTTGCTCCCACATCGGGAGCAGGGTTGAAAGGGAGCGGAGCGTCTGCATCCTTATATAAGAGGCAACCGCGCTTGCTGCGCGAGGCTCATGCTTGCAAAGCGAGGAGCGGGGAAAAGCACGCACCTGTATATATAAACATAAAAGTTCGTTCTAGTTAGGGCTATAGAGGAGGAGGTAAGGCTAATGCACGGATGCATCCTGGCGGGAGGCCAGAGCATCACTGGGAAGTATCACACGGTGAAACAGAATTCTCTTTGAAAGACTGAGCGCCTGCGAGTGGGCAGAGCCGAGCCCTGGGCGGGCAGAGCCGAGTCCCAGGTGGGCAGAGCCGAGCCCCAGGGTCGCTGCTCCCGCTGCGGTGTCCGGAGCCGCGGGAGTCTCCCGGAGCTCGCGGGCTTCGCGGGAGACGGTGGCGGGAGCTCAGCACCCGGCTGGGACGAGCGATCCCTCCGCGGGCTCTGCTCGCCCCGCGGCACCAGGGAGGCGGCACGCGGGGCAAAGGTGAACCTCTGATGGTTTAAAAGGCTCGTAGCCTCGGCCTGCCGATTCGAGGCAGGACGTGCTGCAGGGTCTCTGCCCCAGGCTAACCTTGGGCGGTGTGGCACGGGGCACAGCAGGAGCAGCAGATATGCCTGGGCCAAGCGGGGGCTACGGTGCCCGCGGCACCGAGCACAACCTTCCCGCAGGTTCAGCTCAGCGTTAGCCGCCCCCAGATGCGCAGAGCCCCTTCCCTGCATCCGGGGTGGGGGGCACCAGCGGCTCTGACCCACGGGCTCCTCGTGCCTGCGCTGTCCCAGCCTGGAAGGGGAGGAGAGGAGAACTGGGGAGGAGCTTTAAAGACATGTCTGGAGGTAGCGGGAGATGGTTGAAGCCCCACTTTTTGACTAGGGCTTTGAGGGTCTCCTTCGCGGGAGTCTGCGAGTCACTTCACACCCCCGGGAAATCCCCGGCCCCACGGGCCCCCCCAAAGCCGGGGGCCGGTCCCTGCGCCCGGTCAGGATCCTCCTCCTCTCGCAGGTCGTTCTCTCATGTCCCTGGACGGGCGGCTCCAGCGGCGGCATCGGCATCGCCGCCCCCCGCCGCGCATCCTGCGCGCCCGCACTTGCGTGTCGGCCACGGGGCGGATGTCACAAGGTAGCAGGCAAAAGGGAAAGTGAATGTAACGCGCTGAAGTGAGTTAGAGTCAGTCAGTCACGGTTAAACGTATATTTACTCAACCTTTATTATTTAAAAAAATCCATAAAAAAAAGGTGAACGAACGTCTTACAAAACCCCCCCCACATAAATAGGACATTCCGTTCAGCTCTGGCTATTGGCAGTTCTAGTACTTGACAACATCAGACGCGATTTCCTGGCATTAGAGAAACCCATTTCAAAATCGGTCATCACAAAGAAATACTAGAAATCCCACTTAGCGCTTGCTAGGCAGCACGGAGCACTTGTACACAACTTTTCAGACACACACCCGCGCACACACACAGCTGGGAACAGATCCCGTAGGAAGAGAGCCTCCTTAAAAAATAGTAAACGCTTCTCCGAGGGGGAAAAAAAAGTTATTTACAAAACGCACATGGAAACACAGTATTGACAGAGCGTGGCTGGCAAATCAACATGATTTGAATAGAGACTATGGCACATCTTGCTCGAAAGCTCGCACAGCAGCCTCCTTCGAGTGTACCCAGGGAGGGAGCGCTGCCCTCGGCCCGCGGTGCCCTCTCCCCGCCGCCTCCCCTGCCGCCCACCTCGCCTCTCCACCGGCTCCTTTTACACCTGGATGACCACCGTGCTGGGGCTCTGGAGCCGGGTTTTGTACTGGTCTAGCCAGCTCCGCAGCTCTGAGATCTTGTAGCCCTCTGGTCCTCTGCCTCCCTGGTACATCACCTTCTCCTCCTGGATGATGTAGAGCCTCTCGAAGTAGGCGCCGTAGGCGGCGCTGGAAGCATTGTCCATGGTGTCCACGGCCAGTGGGCAATCGGGCGCCCCTTCCCTCATCAGCTGAGCTGCCCGCAGCCTATCCTGGAGGCACTGGTGCTTGGGGATCTTGTAGGCTGCGTCCGAGCTGACCCAGCCGTCGGAGGGGTGCGCTTCCTCGATGTACACCAGCAGGAAGTCGGCAATGTCCACGAAGTGCGCGGCCAGGCGCTGGAAGGAGCGCAGGCGAGCGTCAGGTGCAGCTGCCGAAGTTGAGAATGAGGGGTCTCTTCCCGCGGGCGAAGTCGAGGATGCGGAGCCGCTTCTGCCCGTCCAGCTGGATCACCTCGGGGTTTGGGGCCAAGGAGCCCACGTGCGCCGACTTGAAGAAGTCCAGCTTCTGGCCGTGCCACACGGCCTTGAGCGACTCCAGCGTGAACATGCGGTTGGAGTCGGACACGCAGACCGGCGGGTCGTCGGGGGGCGGCCCCTCGCCGGCGCTCGCCGCCTCCTCCGCCGCGGGCGTCGTCAGCATCTTCTTCCTGATGCACAGAAAATCCAGGAGCCAGAGCATCACGGCCGTGAGCAAG